TGTATGTATGTATGTATGTATGTATGTATGTATATGTGTGTGAGTGTGTGAGTGTGCGTGTGTATGTAGGTATGTATGCATGTATGTGTGTGTGTGAATGTTTGTATGCGTATGTGCTTGATTATGTGTGATGGTCAAATGTCGGATGTGGTGTCCTGTATGTTATTGGTGTTCATTTCACATGTTGTATAAGTTCTATCGGTTTCTCTCTTTACTGTTCTTATATTTCTCTTCTACTTTTTCTTTTTCTTTCTTACTACAGTATTATAAAAAAGCCACTGATGATGCAGAAATTAAGAAACTAACATTCAGTTTTGTTTTCTACTTAAGTGGTAAAAAAAGTAAACAAGAAAAAAAATGGTGGTTCTAGAAAAAAAAAGATGTGAACATCAGCTGATGTTCAATAGGATTAAACCAGCTGCTGATCTAGCTCTTTTAACAACTGGCCTCAGACAAAAAAAATMATTTAAAASAAATAACATGAGTTTGACTTTGGACACCACTGCCCTAAACCATGACAGTGAACAATCTTTGTTTTCAGCTCATTTGAAAGTTGTTTTTAGACTCCCACGCTGCGACTCTTCAGAAAAGATGCAAAGAGGAGAAAAACTTAGAATTGCCCCCCTTAAATACCCTTTCTCATAATTGGAGTGCATGTTTGTGGTTGTTGCATTTGGCCACTAYAGTATCATGTCTCAGGGTCCTCCTCCAGCTCAGGGTGCTATACAAATGCATACCTGCCTGCCGTAACGTGAAGGCTGCACTCAGAATATGGGAAAAATTGGGCTGAAAATTCAGGACTGTTGGCAATCCTAGTGATAGTCCAGTGAGGAGTTTTGTAAGTGTGTGGTGTAGTTGTTACCCAGCACCACCCCAATGATGGACATCCCACTGAGGGCCACACCAGAGAACACTCTGGAGACAGCAAACATGATGTAGGAGGTGGAGAAGGCTGATGTGGCTCCTAGCAGGGTAGTGGCTATTAAAGCCACCAGAAGCATGGATTTACGTCCAAACCTGCAACACACAGACACAGAAACCCAGTAAACGGGGACCTCATCTCAGGCTAGAACACTAGTCACAACTATATCTGTCAGACAATAGTGTGCAAACTAATGCTTATATGTAACTCCATTGATTTCAATCTGAGCTGTGTTTAAACTTAAATAAATTCAGGAAAACAGCATCAAACCTCACAGGGAGGACCAAAAAACATTGTGCTACAGTTCTTTCAACAGTGACTCAGGATTCAGCCATTGGAATAATCTAGAAGAAGTCATTTTGATCACTTTTCCCAAGCGAAGGGACGAGCAGAGTTTGACCAAAAACAGTGCAACCATAAACTTAAGTCAATGGAAGCGCATTGCATTTATCAAATAAAAATAATAATTAAACTCCTGATCTCGTAATTATGAGATAAAAGAAAAGTTAAGGAGAGTTATAGCTGATTTTCACTACAGGAGAAGAGAACAATAACTGGAATAAATTGATTTTGTGTGCTTTTTTCCTATTATGTAGTATGTGACACTGGGAAATATTGAGTTTACTTAATGTGGACAGTGTTGTGTCTGCAGGTTAGTTAATACAATTTGATACAGTCATCCTCTCAAACTTCACGTTTTCAAAACAGTGAACATACAGGGGTTAGACAATGAAACTGAAACACCTGGTTTTAGACCAGAATATCCCTTTCAGACAGCTTCCCCTTGCGTCCACAGTTAATCCTGTTGGATGTGGTTGGTCCTTCTTGGTGGTATGTTGACATTACCCTGGATACTGTGGCTCTTGATACATCACAAAGACTTGCTGTCTTGGTCACAGATGCTCCAGCAAGACGTGCACCAACAATTTGTCTTCTTTATCTCTGGTATGTCACCCATAATGCTGTGTGCACGGCAATATTTTGAGCCAAACTGTGCTCTTACCCTGCTAATTGAACCTTCACACTCTGCTCTTACTGGTGCAATGTGCAATTAATGAAGATTGGACACCAGGCTGGTCCAGTTTAACCATGAAACCTCCCACACTAAAATGGCAGATGTTTCTTTCATTGTCTCACCCCTGTACATAGTCAATGGGCCATATTGGAAATCGGTACCACCAGAGTGGGCTAGGGTTGTCATACCTTGTTTGAAAGCTTGAAATCTCACCTTCATGATAAGCTATGACAGCAATCACAGTTTTGTAGCTGTTAAGTTACAGCATTTCCATGGCAACAAAGTAGAGGGTTTTTAATGCCTATGTTGACTTTACTACATAATGTATATTTTACTGGAAATGTATATTTCCCAGCAAAAAATGTCTATAAATATGGCTATTAATATGGGCGATTAAAATCTGATGATCATTTGATAAAACAAGGTCAAGGTCATTGTGAAAGGTCAAAATCAAGTAAAAAAAAAGGTACATAAATACATTTTTACTAATAAAACGGATTTAAATGCACCAAATGCCCATTTTCTAACTCAGAAAATTCTCAGCTCTCAGAAAACATAATATTCATATATGTTTACTGCAATTATGATTATTATTATGTGCTATTTTTAAGCAAAAAGTGTTTTTTATGATATTACCAATTCCATTTTAAAGACTACATATAAAAGTCAAGGTCATAGTGTAAGGTCATTTAACAACAAATCTGTATTAATTGCAATTTTTTTATTGCTTTCACCAGAATATCCTATGTAGTTCAACAAATTAAWTTTTTTTGTAATAGAGAACATTATATATTTTCAAAAATGTACAGAAGTAATGTTTTGAACAAAATTGTTAGTTTCATGAGTACAAAAACTAATTTTACAAACCAGTGCTGTTGAGGCTTAGCAGTAACGTTGAGAACAATAGGTCAGAATAGGGGTCACGAAAACATCTTGTGTAATATCCTGGAAAAGTTGACATCATAAGGGGTTCTATTGGATGGTGTTATATTTCCACCCATTTCTGGGAAATAGCCCACCCTTTTTTCTGGCAAAGATAACGTGGTATAAAAGCTTATGGTTTTCTAACTGCGTCAGTTCGGTCTTGAAAAGGTCTGATCTGTCGGTTGAAGCTGTTACTGACTGAACTCAAATAAACTCCCTCTGGCTGGCCAAGGATTGTCTCTTCTCTTTTTATCTTGATAAGTGGACTTTTTCAGCCCCTACAGTGCCACTATGAGTGGGTACATGTTATTGATTGATCAGTATTCAACAGAATCATTCAGATAGTAGGCCAGATGTATTAATAGAAATTCAACAAACACTTTACAGGATCAAAATGATGGGGATTATAGTGCAGTTTTTATGGGTTCCAGCACATCATGGAGTTAAAAGGAATGAAATGGCAGATAAATTGGCAAAGGAAAGCACTAAACGGGATTTAGCTGACGTCAATGTTAGTTTTAGGAACAGAATTAAAGAGCATTGTACGACATGAAATGAAAGGAGTGTGGCAAAAACAATGGGAGGAAGAAAGGAAAGGATGGTGGTTTTACAAAATTCAAAGTAAAATAGAAATGAGAAGAAYGGGAAGAAATAGAAGAGAGGAGACAATTATTACACGACTCAGACTCAGACACACTGGATTAAACAGCACTTTATTATTAAGAGGAAAACATGAGACAGGGCAATGTAAATGTGGGGATGATGAAACAATAGAACATAGTTTTTTGTATTGTAGAAAGTATAGGGAAGAAAGAAAACAGTTGATTCAAAATCTCAGTAATATGAAAATGAAGTTAGACATTGTTGACTTACTCCAGAAAGATTCCAGAAGCAGAAGTTATCAGGTCAATTTTTTATATTTAAAACAGTGTAATTTGTATGATAGGATTTGATTTTTGTGTTTATTTTATTTTATTTTATTTTTGAGACACATWCGGTCCACACTCCTTACCAGTTGGTGGCGGTAATGCACCATTAAGTTGTTTGACAACCGCCATTAAACACAAGAAGAAGAAGAAGAAGAAGAAGAAGAAGAAGCATGTCTGCTGGTGTTTTGTGGAGTACTGGTGGGCTGCAGGTACCTGAGGTTCTGGTTTGCGGGTTCCCCATCCTGTAGGGTGAGTTTTGTGACCCTTTCGTGTTTCAGGGGTCCGTGTGTTTGGTGTACAGAGTTTTGTCTGCTCTACTTTAGTTGGTGGCTGAGCCACATGAGCCTTTGACCCTGTGGGTCCAGGCACCCTTTTTGTTTATGGGAGTTGGGGGGTTAAGTTATTTCACTCCTAGGATTCAAATTATTGATTAATTCTCCCATTTTTCCTTTCAGGTCCCTCCCCAAATACAGGTTATCATTTTCTCTGAATAAATCATTCTTTATTTTCATCCTCCTGGGTTATGGTCCTTCATCGCTCAGTTTCTTTTATTTGCTGTGTCCCCCAGCTTCTAGACAGCCAAGGGGAATGTAACATGTGACAGGAGATTTCTTGCAGCYTTTGAAACAGTTCTGCAGATAACTCTCAAGAATGTCCAAGTTCACTGAAGGCCGCCTGTTTGATCTTGTCAGACTTCATCTGCTTGAGGGCCGTCATCTTTCCACATCCAACAAATGCACTGACTGTATCACAGCCTGCAAAGGCATGCATTCCAATCAAACCATCCCAGACACCACCTCCCAGTGCATGCCTGAGGCTGGTTATATACATGAACCATATTTGGTTCTTTGTGCCATTCTTCAGGTAAATAGGACATGCGATACTCTCACTGACCCCCAGGCACAGAACCAAGACATTGGTATTCTCAGTAGTTATGACCACAAACTTGGAGAAGATTCTGAAGCATGAAGAGCATGGAGCAGGAGACGGGTATCTGCTTCTTCCTGTGAGCACTTTAGCTCTGTGGCCTCTTCCCACCATTGGTGATCTTGAAGCACAGTTGTTCCACCCGCTTCAGATGTTATCATCCATGAAATGGATTTTATTAGGCATTATCAGTTCCCTAGAATGGCTTCAGAATGTCCCGCCTGTGCCGGTTAGCAGGTTCCCCGTCCCATAGAATGGCTTCTGATTGTCAGCTGGTTMATATGAGGCATAAAGCCACTATCTGGTAAACATGAGGCATAAAAAATTAGGTTAATATGAGCCTTAAAGCCACCAAGGTTAACCTTAGAGCAGATGACATGGTTAGGACTAACCTCCGATGAATGTATATTGTGGCCTCTCAATAGGGCAGAGGGTAGAGCATCACACCAGAGAGCGGGAGACCAGGGCTTGAGTCCGACACGGACACAAAAAATTTATTACAATATCTTTTGGTTATTTACACATTCATTGTCATTGATATATTAACCCACTAGGGGGCACTGTCAGGACAGTCTGAAGCCTAGAAGGCACAGTAGGGACCCTCTGAAGCCATTGTATGGGACTGACAACGCCTAATACCGTCTATTTCATGGACTGATAACATCAGAATTCCCTGTTTGTTCACGGGTAACATAACACCTTATCTTTGAGTTTTTCTCACAGTTTTGGTTCCTTACACTGCACCACCAGGAACTTGATCAGACTTGCTTTGTTATAAGGGCTGCAAAGTAGCTTCCTCCATTGTAGAATGTGGTAGCCTGGTGCAATGTTTCTGATCTGGATTCCTGAGTCTGCACCCCTGTTGACTCTTTCTGCATCTTTAATGTACGTTGATGTAAGAGAGAAGTTGGTCATAGGCTTGTTTCTCTGCTTCCTCATATTCTGCATCACTCTACTCTTGTTTCCCATCTAAACTAGAGCTTACGGAAGACTCTCAGTTTGTGCACAGTCTCTAGCAGGATTTGTGATAATGTCCTTCCACAGCAACAAGGTCTCTGCTCAGAAAGGCAAGGATTCTCTGGTCACATTTTCTGGTTGCTGCACTGTGGACAGTGTCATCAGCATGCATCTTGGCATACTGGAAAAGAGGTTCCCTTGTTTGCTGTCCTTTCTGATATGTGCTTGCCTTGTTGCAGAAAATGCTTTTTTTTTCATACACTCTTGAAGTGCTTGCTGCACCCCTAGATCTTTTAAAACTGGGATTTGATGGATCAACACTATTGCCTTTGGATAGGATAGA